CAGCATGCAGCATTTCCCCCACTGATGTCCTGCTTTGGGGGTCAGTGCTGTGGTCCTCTTCGAGGGCTCCCTGGCATCCTTTGCATGGGCATCAGCCTAGAGTGAAAATGGACCTGGGAGGGGGAGTCTCACCAGGTTTCTGTGCCACCAGGGTTTTGTAGGGCCCTGGACCTGGTTCCAGTACAGGGAGAGGCCGAAGTGCTGTTCCTCAGAGACATCCAGCACCAGGTGCACATCCTCACCATCTGCAGACACGTTGAGCCAGGGCAGGGCTTGGGGGGAGCCAAAGAGAAACTTCCTTTACCTCTTCTGCACACCCAAGCCTGAGCCATACCCACCGACTGACCCTTTGGAGTTCCCTTCAAATCCTCTAGACTGGGAGGCTCCTGGAGGACAGAGCCAATGTCCCCATCTCAGACCAGGCAGCTGGGGGCTGAGCTCATGTGGGCCCCAGTATGTGGTCTTGAGATCACCCTTTCCTTGCTTCTCCCTCCCCAGCCAGAAGGATCCTGTAACCACTATAAAATAAATCATTCTCCTGTGCTCAGTACCCTCTGATGCCCCCTCTACCCCCCCTCCCCCACCCTCCGTCATTACTCCCAGAGGAAAAACCTAGTCCTTACAAAGGCTTGCAAGGCCCTACCTATCCAATTTGGCTGCTGTGACCACTCTGAACTCATCTCCCTAGCCCATGCCACAGTTGTGGCCTTGATTCCCAATAGGGGGCGTGCAGGAGGCAGCCAATCAATGTTTCTCATCGATGTTTCTATCTTTCTATCCTTCTCCCTTCCTCTCTCTCTAAAATCAATAAAAACATATTTTTAAAAAAGAAAATACAGCCCTAACCGGTTTGGCTCAGTGGATAGAGCGTCGGCCTGCAGACTGAAGGGTCCCAGGTTAGATTCTGGTTGCGGGCACATCCCCAGTAGGGGGTGTGCAAGAGGCAGCTGATTGATGTTTCTCGCTCATCGCTCATCGATGTTTCTAACTCTCTATCCCTCTCCCTTCCTCTCTGTAAAAAAATCAATAAAATATATTAAAAAATAAAAAGAAAATACAAAACAAAAAAAATCTAAATAGTGCAGGGAAAAAACCATAAGAACCCTGACTTACTTAGCCCCTCATTTTATGGTTTAATATTTTTATTTGATATATTGGGGAGGGTGCACCATAATCTTGGCAATGCTTTGAGCTTCTAGATGTCCCTGATATTTAATAAATATTTTTTACAGAGAGTGAGAGATTCACTCTTATGTTCCCAGTGGCTGGCACAAAGTAGGAGCTGTTGCAGTTCATGTGTGATGAATGAATGAGTGAATGAATGAATGAATGAGCTCTGCACGTTTCTGGAATGTGGCAGCCCAGACCCGAAGCCAACTCCAAGGGTTTCTCACACTCCAGACCCTGGCCCTCCCTCCTCCCAGCCCCACTGGCCCTAGCCCCTACCCCAGCAGCTCTGGATGCTGTCCTGGACTTCGAGCCCCCTGCAATCTGGGGAGAGATCACAGAAAAGCCTCCGGTGGGGCTGGGGACCAAGGAAAGAAGGGGGACAACCCGACTCATGGGGAGCTCTGCAAAGGGCTCCCTGTCCCCTAGATAACCACCCACATCTATGCGGTGCCCAAAGCACTTTCCCCAGGGATGGGAACTGACTGGGAGGATGTGAGCTCACACCACTGCCTGGGAGTAGATAGGACTAGGAAGGGGGTGAAAGCAGGAGGGGAATGGCCAAAGGGGTGGGAGATTAGGGAGGCTAGGATTTGGGTCCCCGGAGGCTCTGTATCCACTTACCAGGCAGCTGCTGTATGAAATTGAGTTCCTTCTGGTACCTGGGCTGAGTGTAGGACCAGATGTGCACCTCAGCTCCTAGAGCAGCCTCGAAGCAGTCAAATGTTACAGAGCCCTGTGAGGAGAGGGGTGGCAGAAGGCTGGTGGTATAGGGCTCAGAATCCATGCCAGGGATGTGGGATCCTCTGTGTGGACCACTCCCTCCCATCCTCCCCCAGTCAATAACTATATTCATACTGTATGGCCCGAAATTCTGCCATTGAAGTTTCTTTAAAGGGCTCCCGATTCTAAAGTACACACCCTCAAAGAGGGGTGGCAGCAGGGCAGAGATAAGGGCTCTAGCTACTAGAGTCCCTGCTCCAACTCCAGTTGTTCTGGATCACATGGCCAAAGCTAAGGTGACTGGACACCCCTCCCCACAGAAGTGGTTCTCACACCCAGTGCCTCATTGGTCCTCACGATTGCCCTGTGAGGTGGGCCAGCAGATGTTCACCCACTCAACAATTTTCCAGATCAGAGGATATTGCCTGGGGGCAGGAGGGGATGTCAAAGGGTTTGAGTGAATTGGCCCAAGCAGAGGGACACTTCCAGGAGTAGCCCCAACACCCTGCAGCTTGGTGTACACACGGGGCAGACACGATATGGATGGAAGTCCAGAGCAGTGGATCCAGCCCACAGATTTTCCCTGGAAAATGAGGGTCATAAAAATATCTAGCTCATGGCATTGTCACCTCACTTAATTCTCACAGCATCCAGATGAAGTAGGACTTTTCTTATCCCCACTTTACAGACAGGAAAATGGGTATAAAGGGCTGAAAGGATTTGCCCACAGCCCTGATCAGAGTCAGGACTTAAAGAGATAATATGTGTGGAAGCACTTTGTAGATTTCATATTCAGAAGGTGGTTATTATTATTATTATTATTTTGCATACCACAGACTGACCAGGCTGCACGAGGGCAGCGGGCACTTGCACCTCCAGCAGGACACAGCGGGCAGTAGGGTAGGCCTGGAAGGAGAGCACGACTTGGGCCTGGAGAGAGGCTGTGAGCAACAAGGCGAGAGTTGGTCAGCCCCAGGGGCCGCAGGCAAGGCCCTGGTAAGGGGCAGTTGGGCCAGCAGGGTGTTCCTCACCATTCTTAGGCTCTTCAAGCTCTGGGTCAGCTGCTCTTCCAAATTGCTCCTCATCTTCAGGCTCTTCCCAGTGGCCTGGAAGGCCCCAAGAACAAGGCCCAGGTCAGGCCTCCTGCTCTGGGCTGGCTTTGGGTTTGGCTTTCTTCCAGAAAGTGCATGCGGGGAAGCAGGGGACAGGCCTGAGGCCTGGGGGTGGGGGTGGGGGATGGGGAGACCAGACCAGCCTGGGGTCCTTTGGCCAGTGACCTCCAGAAGGATGTCCAGTGCTGCCTGGCAGACTGCCTGAGCCTCATGCCCAGCCCAGATACATTCACATGTGCACATGGGTGACATGCTCACCACGCACAGCCAAGTGGACGGCCACGCGCACACAGAGGTTGCAGTCGGTCTCCTGATGACACCTCAGCACCAGCTCTGTCTGTAGGCGTGTGGGCACCAGCACAGGTCCTGGGGCAGGCTCGATACTCCCAGGCAAGCAGAGTACGTCACCATCTGTGCGTGAAGGGCAGGGTGGGAGCTGAAGCTGTTCTATACCCAGAATTTGGTTGCAATTGACACCCCCAGAGGGCCAAGGAGCTTGGGCTTTTCAGGGGCTGAGGGTAGGCCGTGAGGGCATGGGACTGGGACAACTCCCCTCCCTTCCACCAACCTAGAAAGTTATTTTCTCTCTAAAAGTAGGGCTACTCACCCCACAGGTGGCAGGAGAGGCCCTGGGAAGGAGGTAAAGGAGCGTCAGGATTTATGATCTTAAATCTAATCCTCTTTCCCTGCCTGAGATTCCCACCGACCTCTTTCTGGGGCTCCCTATTCCAAGCCTCTCCCAGCAGAAGACAGACCCAGCTCTGGCCCCTTCCCCATTCTCCTCTTACTCCATCAGTACCAGACAGACCAGCTAGGGCAGTTCTGGTGGTGGCGGCGGAGGCAGTGACGGCAGTGACGGGAGCCAGGCTAGGGCCTTGATGGGCCTCAGTCTGAACCCTGAGCCTTCCCCAACCCTCCCAGGGCCCCAGACTCACCAGAGAGCAGTTAGCAGTATCCTGAGGCCCCATAAGCCTCTCCAGAGAGAGGACCATGGGGCTTGGGCCCAGTGCCAAGGACAGCAGGAACCAAGGCACAGGCATCTTCCAGGTGCCAGGTGGCACCCAGGCCCTAGGCCCTGTCCTGCCCCCCCCAAGGGGGGGGCAGACACCTCATCTGTGCTCCCACTCAGTCCCCAGTGGTTGGGCAGGAGGGGCCAGAATCTCTCCCCAGCCTCCCAGGTTCCAGAGCTGGCGAGCTGGCACACTGGTCTCCTCGGAGTCCTGACTTGAAACTTAGTCTCAGCCGAAGTGCTTTCGTTTTTTGACTCCTGGCAGGGAGCTGGCTGTTCCCGCCCCACCCTGTCCCTCCCACTAGGCCTGGGAGCCAGCAGCCTTGGATTGGGGTGGCGGCCTCATCTCCTCTTCCCCTCCTTTTCCTCCTCCCTTCCTCTCTCTCCTCCTCCCCTGCTGACATCTGGCTGGGAGGGCCCCTGGAGAGGGCGTAGCAGACTGGCCTCTTGACTTAGTGAGGAAGCTCTTACTCACCCCAGGAGTCCCTAAGGAGGGCTGTGAGTGCACCCCAGGGCCTGGGCGATCCTAGGGCATTTTTGCTTCCCACCCTGAGTGCCAGTAAGAGGGGATCTTGGTGCCCACTGGATCCCCTCTTACTGGCACTCAGGGTCTCTTCACACAGACTCATTGGGCCTCAGTGACCCTTTGTAGGTTGGGAGCTCTAATGGCAGGGACAGGGGGCACCAGAAAGTGGGCTTTTCACCCCTTCCCAGCTCAAGCGTGATAGTGGTGGGAGAAGGAACCCAGGATCTGGGGCCAGGCAAACAGGGGTCCCATTTGTGCTTTTGCCCTGGGCTGGCTGTGCACTGATGGACACACACCACTTTTTTGAACTGTTTTTTCCTCTTTTCTCATTAAAGAATTATAGTGAGGATCAAGATTTCCAGGTCCTCCTTTGCCTTTCCAGTGACACGGCACGGTGGATGGGGCGTGGGCGTGGACATGGAGGATTTGGGCAACGACGGATGGATTTCAACCCCCAGGCAGGGTGATGCTGACCCTTCCCCTAACTGAGCATCCTAGGCACACCAGAGAAGCACATTGTGTTTCTTCGTTTATCCATCACGTTTGCCTTTATTCATCTTTCTCCATCTTGGTGTCCACTGTCCCACCTTTGTCCTGGCCACCCAGGGCCACAGCCTTTCTCCCTGGGTCCAGTCCTCCCTCCTTTTCCACCTGAGCAAGGCCTGGGGCTGGGAAAGGGGGTTTCTCCTACTTCTCTGGAGTCAACCCCCTTCAGAAAGGCCATAGCTCCTGCCTCCCCCACCCCCGCCTCAACCTCGCGGGCCTTCACTGGAGCATGCGCAGACTCCTCTCTGGAATTTCGGAGAGAGGAAGTGGGAAGGTGCCCCTCCCACATCAGAGTCAGAGGAGCCCCCAAGAAAGAGAGACTCTCTCCCTGGGGGTCCTGAGAGGCAGGGAAGCTTCAGGGGGAAGCCTGGCGAAAGTGTGCAAGGGCCAGGAGCGAGTCCGGTGCTCCGCTCCTGAGCTGGAAGGCAGGGAATAAGGCTTTGGGGAGCAGTCCTCGGAGGCACCCTGAGATTCCAGGGTTGAAGCCTCTTTCTGGGTGCCAGCCAGTGCCCCTACGCCGGTGGCCAAGACATCTGGATTGCTGGGGAGCTCCACTCAGCCTCGGTGGGCAAGTTGGGCGGCCTCGCGTTCCAGCTGGCGACACAGTTCCAGGCGATTCCGCAGCCACGGCCGAGCACCCAGGCGGCCCCAGCCAGTGGCATGGGCGGCGGGGCTGGCGTCCAGCGCCCGCAGCAGGCGAGGCAGGTCGCGCAGCAGGCGGTAGCGCGGCAGGTCGCGCAGTGGCGGGGGGATGTCGCCCTTGGCGCAGAGGCGACTGAAGTAAGCGAGCAGCAGAAGCGGGCGCGGGGCGGCGCGGAGCAGGGCGCGCAGGGGCGCGGTGCGGGTGTCCCGGGCGCAGGCAGGGCTGGAACCCGCGCTGCTCCACAGCAGCAGCACGGTGCCCCGCTCCCGCACCACCTGCGCCCGCGCCGCCCACAGCCACGGCAGCGGGCCCACACGCGCCACGCGTGTCCCCTCCCACAGGTCCACGATCACGTCGCGCTCGCCGCCCAACGTGGCCCGCAGCAGTTCAGCCAGCGCTCCCACCAGGCGCCGCTGCGCCTCTGAGTCCGCCACGTGCAGAAGAAGCACAGGATGCGGTTGGCCGGGGCCTAGGGCGGCAGCAACAGATGAACAGGGTGGGGGTTAAGGGACAGCTCAGCTCTGTCTTCCTTGGCCTCAGGGCTACATCATAGGGTGTACCCCCAGAGCCTTATCTGTGCTGAGGGTGGGTCCCCAAGGCAACTCCTGTCAATAGGGTGCTTTGGGGGCTATTTAGATCAAAGCACCCTGGAAGGGGTGAGGTGCCAGAATTGGCAGGTGCAGCCCAGACTGGATTTCCGCTCCACTTACCAGTAACCCGGAGACTTGGTACACTGAACCACCCGTACGGAGGGACCTTTGCCCTGCCTTAACCATTCCTGCCCACGAAGGGCCCTGAGGCGCACCCCCTTGGGTAGCACACAGCTGGGTGCTGCGGCAGGTACATGGCTCTTGGGGAAGGGAGCCTAGGCAGGGAACAGGTGCCGGCAACTAGCCTAGGAGTTGGGCAGGTCTAAATCCCCAAATGATGCCCAGGTGAGCTTACCTGACAGTGGGCGCTGGAGGATGAGAACTAAAACAACTCCCAATAGAGTGGTGAGGGCCAGCAGTGCCAGGATCAATAGTCCCAGGTGTCTATTAGAGACTGAGTCAAGCAAGGTGAGGCCACACTGGGCTCCTCAGTGCCCAACCTTCCTCTTACTCACCCCACCCCTCCCCAAAGAACTCACCATCTGGACACAAGAGGTGCTTCCAGGCAAACTGGACATCTGACCTCCACACCTGAGGGCACAGAGCCCCCCCACCCTGTGAGCCAGGGTATAGTGCCTCCTCCAGGGGAACTTAAATGAAGCATGGAGATGGTGAAAGGGAGGTCCCCTGGATACGGAATTCATCCAGCACAGAACAGGTCAAGAGTGGCAAACTCAAAGAGTAAACTCAAAGTTGGCCAGGGTGTCCATGGAGACCTGGAGGGCACAGGCCCTGGTGGAAGTAATCAGACACCACTGAGCTCTAGCCTGTTGTCACCAGGCCTGAATGTGGACACAGAGAAATAGGTTTTCTGATTTTTTTTTTCAAGAGAAGCCAGAAATCAGCTTTTTAAGATATGATGTCTCCCAGTATTTAAATGGTGGTAACAAATTCCAATTTCAAACACCATGTTGTCCAAACCAAACATTTTTTGTGGACTGGATTTGGCCCGTCTGCCACCTGTGGAGTAGATATAGAGGGAGGGCAGGATTCCTTACCAGAACACAGGCCCCTGGCCTCAGGAAGGGAATGATGAGCTCTAGTGTCACTGGGCTTGAGCCCTGAGTCTGTTGGAATAAAGAACAAAATGACTGTTCGCACGGAAACAAATCTGGCTCTGAGCCTTTGCCCATGCTGTTCCTCCCCCCGCCCCCAACCCCCTCCTCCCAATCCGCCCAAGGCTTAAGGCCAAGTGCCACCCCTGGCTTCATTCCTAGATCCCGCTGATCATTCCCAGATCAGAACTGCTGCACAGATACACATTAATCAGTCAGTCAGGTACTCGTCAACAGACATCCTGTGGGTGCTGACTCTGTGCCAAGCCCTGAGGAAAGAAGGCAGGCGCAGATCTTCTCTGTCCTCTGGCAGTTCCCAAACAGGGAGGCTAATAATATGCTGCCCTACTCCTGTCCGGCATACCTGAAGGGGTAGCTTATCCATTGGAAAAAATGTAAGTTGTGGAGTCAGAAGACCACAGCTAGCAAAGTCAGGCTTAACTATTGCCTTTGTGGTTCCTAGCTGTGTGGAACCACACATTTGGTTGGAACATTGATCCCTGAGCCTCAGTTTTTTCATTTGTCTGTGAAGGCTAATAATCCTTGGCTTACTGCATTATTGAGCATCACATGGAAATATGCATGGGAACACCCTTTATAATATACAGTGCAGTGTGAATTCATTTAGTAGTAGTAGCTATTATTACACCTGGGACTCCTAGGGCCGAGACTCGGTTATATACTTTTCTTGTATCTTCCAGGGCCTAAGACAGGGTAGGCACAGAATAGGCACTCAATACAAACATGCTGAATTGGACAGAATTGATTGTCATCTGTCTACAGGCAGGATGTGGCTCTGCCCTATGTTCTGGGTGCCGGGTAGGGAGCTGATCAGAATCTCCATACTTTGGGAATACCCTCCCCCCTGCTCTCCCTACCCCACCCTGTCCTAGATCATCCCATTGTCTAGTCAGCTGTGAGCAAGTGCTGATGCAGGGGCTCTTAAATCATGGCTGAACTCAGTGAAGGCGGTCTTTTCCCAGCTCACAGAAACAAATGAATCCATGGATTTCATTCTCAATGTTAGGTTTTCCCACATGACTTTGCCTTACAACTTAATCACGGCTTGGTCTTAAATCTTGAGCATTTGCTACCACCTGCCTGCTTGGGAACCCTCAGAGAATACAAAACAAATAGCTGCCAAGTGAGTATTTAAGAAAGAACTTGAAAGAGCTACTCATGCTTAGTCAGCTTGGGGCTGTGGTTTTGAAGATATATTTGATTATGGTTTTTATATCAGATACACAGAAGAAAGTCTACTAGTCAATTGATCTTAGTTCACATAATAGAGTTAAGTCTGTCAGTAGTTTACAATCTTCCAGGGCCTCTGTCTCCCAAGATAGTGAGAGACTACTTCTGCCAGGTGCCTGGTGGAGGAAGGCAGGAGCACAGTGGTAGAGGACAGCTGAGTTCGAGAGGGCATCAGTATAACCTGGGGCAGCAGTTTGAGTCAGCCAGAGGAGAGCTGGGTATGAGGAGGCCAATCCTTTGCCCCTGTTTATCCCTGTAAATTCAGAAACTGAAAGGATTAGAAACTGCCCCATGGAAACCCCGCTGACGGGCAGAAGGAGCCAGCTGCACAAAGCCTGATCAAGTAAATAAATAACTAGATGTTGTAAGTCAGGAATTGGCTTGCCTCCACCTGCTGTGCTCTGAGCAACAGGACCTGGCGGGGGCCAAGGGCTGGCGAGGGCATACCTGGCTGATGCTGTACACAGGGGGCAGCAGGCTGTCCCGCCCCATGTCCGGGTGGCTCCAGGCAGCACTGAAGGTGGCACGCGTCCTTGTGGAGAAGTGAAGGATCAGCTGCTGGGCCTGGGTGTCCATGCTCACATTCCAGGATGGGGCTGCCGATGGGGCTGCCGG